AGTATAAGGAACAAGATTATGTTAATGTATTAGTGAAGAAGGATGATGAAAATAACGACTCCATTGATGAAGTTAAGACGTTAGTATCAAAAACTTAATCTCCCGGAAAAGAAGATTATTAGTGGCCTTCCTAAAAAGATTTGATTTTAAATTATGTATTCCTAAATTTTGTTCGTTTATTTAGTCATTGTTACTTTTACAAATTAATGTCTTTTGGCTTTACAATATGAATAATCGATCTTATTTTATTTTTTGCAATTTTAAAGTTTAACTCAATCATACAATAAAACAATAAAATGGGATAAATCTATTTAACTCCAAACAAAGCGGATCAATAAAAAATAGAGCTAATTAAAATTACGAGACGAATTGAAAATAGAGCCAAGTATTCGGATTATTTTGTACAGTATTAATTTGTTTTTGCCTTATAGGTAGTTTAACAAATTAGATTAACAATAATTTTTCAAAAAAATCTTAATTGGAGAGTGATTTTTCAAAAAAATCTTAGTCTTCACCAAAATCACTCTCCCAATTTTAATGTGACATAGCATCCCTTAAAATATGACACGACATTCTCTCTAATTTAGCATATTAATCCCTAATTAAACTTAGCCCAAATTCAATAATTAAAACTAGCTCAACTTCAAAAGGAGGATGAGATGATGACTCCATTGATAAAGTTAAGAAGTGATTATCAAAAAATAATCTCACGGAATAGAAGATTATTTTTACATGTTTTCTTTCGATTATTTGATTAGGGATTTTAGTTAATGTTACTTTTAAAAATAATTTCTTTTTGGATTAATAGATCTTACTTTATTTCCAAAAAAGTCTGTTCAACCAAAAAAATCAATGAAATAAATCGATTACATGTTGTTTCGGTCCAAATATAAATTTATGTATCATCATCAACTGCAAAGTAAAATACGATAATCCTTAGTAAAATCTACACAAGATTAATCTGACGTTTACAAGATTATGAAAATCGTTATCTCCACAAATTTGCCTATCCAAAATTTAAGAATATCTCAAAAATAAAATGTATGAAAAACTATAAATTTAAAAGTGTTAAATTTGGCTGCTCTGAAATTTATGTATTATCAATTCTAATTTTCAAATATGAAAATCTTTGATAAATGGAAATATTGAAAGCTTTTAATAAAAGAAAATTAGCATTTTTCGATATTTAATTAATAATGGACTTATTATGGTCCGGAATTTATGTATAATTAACTCCAAATTTAAAAATATGAAAATCTTTAGTAAAATTTACACAAGAACAAATTTTTAAAAGAGATTTGGATATGTTTGCAAAATAAATTTCCAAGTTTATAAAAAAAAATGTAGTTCTTTTGAATTTTTTTTTCTGCTAGACAATTTTTTATTCGAAAATCATAAAAAATTCATAAATTTATGCTAGACAATCATAAAAAAATGTAGTTCTTTCGAAAATCTTTAGTAATAATAATATTTTTTTATTCGAAAGCAACATTTTTTTATCTGTGTTTTATTTATAAATTTATGATTATATATTTTAATATTTTAAAATATTCCATAATTTATTTGTATTTTAAATACTATTTAAGATATTCGGACAAGCCAAATTTAAAAAAATTTTTAACTCTAATGTATTACATTTTGATTTGACACATTTACATATATATAATAATTAAATAGTAAAACTAAATTTCTAAAACTCATATTATTAATAAAAACGATATTATTGACCAAAAAAATT